AAGATCATTTACCTGAATATTGCAATGAAAAAAAAATTTGATTTAGTATTCTTACATACTATTCTTACTACGCTTGAATTAAAAGACAAACTTACGATTGGTTTCTGAAAATGCAGAAGTTCAGCAACCTGGAGCAATTTATTCCATTGAACATGAAGTTTGGCAAAGATTGGCTTGTTGTTCACAAACTGATGGGAGCTCATTTCTTCACTCAAGTTCACCGGTGCTTCTCCACTCGAGTCCTCTATCTACGTTAATGCAAAGAAACGCTAATAAGCGCATCAAGACTGTTTGACAGAGCACTTGTCTATACTCATTTTGACGGGATGTGCGATAGACTTACCTCCACGTGGTGCACCCTGGGCAACGTATACTCATACGGCACAAAAAGTCTATTAACTGGCAGTTGACTTCTCACTTCAAACTACCATCACCTCACTCTATGCCATATTCGACTATTTCACAGTACTCACCTCACCCTTGTGTTTGTCTCTTACATCTTTGAAACACTCTTCTGTTCCCCCCCCCCTCTCGATTTTTTCAATTTGATGTTCCTCCCCTCTCTGTGAAGCCTGAAGTCAACTAAAGGGCTAATGATAACCATCAAGACGCCTCCCATTTGATATAAATAAATAAATACTCATTTTGACGAGATACCACCTTATTCTCCGGTGATGACCTGTGAGGTTGGCATTCTCGCACAATGGGTGGATTTGCATAGACGGACATTGAACTTATAGCCTCTTTTTATTTATTTTCTAAAGATTTCCCAGATATGAATAAACCATTATGACTTTCAGTTAACTAATCACCAATCAACCACCACCAAATGCCATACCAAAGCACAATAAGGATATGGTATTCATTTGAATTAAACACTAGCAATTCCATCATTATACATAACAAATATTGCTCTTCATAACCCCTAAAATAGCCGATCAAACTAATTACTGAAATCAATGATGATAACTTTCATTGGAGTCAACGGATGGAACTGTAGCTACTTAATCGGATCGAACAATTAGATCTCCTTTCATTAATTGCTCCTTGTTATATTTTTCGATTTCAAATAAGGTAAAAATGAAAACAAAGGATTGTCACCGCGGTGCATGAATTCCGAAGATTATACCGAGCAATTTATAACAAAATAGTCTAATTAAATTCCAATAAAAATCCTGTTAATACTTCCACAAAATTTTACCGTGTTCATCAGTGGCCCCCACCAGAAAATGAGAAAACGGAGGAGATCGATAAAGTTAGTGACAAAATGAAGGTATTAAAGGGCCCTGCTCCATTTAACTGCCTGAAATAGGACTGTGCAATACTTCTGAATGATCAGTACACGTTGCACAATTCAACCCTTATTTGTTGGTACTTTTTAACCTGGGAGAGTCGAGCTTGCAGAATTCACTTTATAATTTCTTCCATTGATTGAGAATGCACATGATCTTGCCCGATATTAAGCGTCTTACCGTTTTAGCATAGCAGAGACAAGGAAGACCTGGATGAGGGGTGTCCGAAGTCAACTTACCTCCACGTGGTGCTCCCTGGACAAAGTATACTCATACTTCTCACTTCAAACTACCATGACCCCACTTCGTGTCAAATCCATCCACTCCCACATTACTCATCTAACCTTTTCTCTGCCTTTGTGTCAGCCTGTGAATCACTCTTCTTTTCAACCTCTCCAATTTTTCTAAATTTGATGTTCCTCCCCTCTGTGAAGTCCCAAAGTCAACTAAAGGGTTAATGATAACTATCATAAAGCCTGTCATTTGAAAAAAATAAATAAATAATAAGACTAAACATTTCAAATTCCGTTTAACTTGGGAAGATGTAAAGGTGAGGTGTAAAAAATTGCATTATAAAAAGGCAAAGAGATTGGAAATGCATCATTGTAGTAGGTATTTATATATGAACTGGTTATTCTTTTACCTCAATATCAACTCCATGTCGACTGAGATTGAGAAAACACTCACGGAGTTCAGCTTCAATTGATGGTTCGTGTAGTTTGAAGGCAATTATATAGTCAATTCGACGGATGCCGTCGGAAAAGAGCAGAGAATTCGCCTTAAGTAAATAAATGAAATTAAATTAACGGCCTACTGCTAAAATCCACTTCGGCTATTTTATTGGTAGGAAAATAAATCAATAGACCCTACACCTAAAAAAATAAGGCAATTGACAAATCTAGGATGATAAGTGGGTTGACTACCGTTGTTGTGTCCCTCAATCATCACATTGACCAATCGTTTCTGCCCGATTGTGTTTAACGTTTTTGATCCAAAAAACTACCGTTCCTGGGAGTTCGAAGTACTCTGCTTCTAACTCCTTAAGATATTCCAGTAAATCAGTTAAAGGGAGAGGGGAACAGATAATTTGAAGATAGATACCTAATGGAAGACTCAATTACTACGTGACAGCAATTTAAGTAATAGCGGTAAGCGGGATCTTATCATTAAGGGAGCGAAGGCTGAAAAAATCCTAATCTTACAATAAATCGATAAATGACCTAAACACCGAGACGATGAGTCATAAATAAAATAAAGCGGAGTAGACAACGAATTGGATAAAAATCGATGCGAAAAAACAATCGCTTCCACCGAACCAGTACAACTCGATGTCACAGCGCAAATTTCACCTTCATTAAACTAGATAAATATAGCTTTTGAGGCAGGTTTGACCTCCATCGATTAATCATACTGAGAACTTTTGTTAGCTTAGTTATTGAGTAGCGTTAAGGAAATAATGTATCTTTGTGCAACTGAATCTCTTCTCAGTTTTTATAACCACCAGACTCAGTTCTAATATTCGAAAGATGATCTAAGGTAATGGAGGAGATATTTTACTTGCCATTTTAAGCCCCTTCAGGTAAAGGAATATAGCAACGAGAGATGAATAATGATAAAACGAAGTTTCATATCCATCGACCGTAGCTGCTGTTTGCTTTAACAAACAGGCAAGCCCCAAATCCAAACTTTTAAGCGCTTAAACCCTTCAATATACTTCGCTTTTTTAGTAAAACGGTAAATCTCGAAATCACCATGATCTTCATGTGGACAGTAGAACAAAAAGATTAACAGTTATTTATAATCGGTAAATTCTACTTTAGTTGAATTAAAATAAAAGTATTGCTGAAAATTGCTAAAACTCACCATATGGCCTTAAACGCGCCTAAGTCGTTGAGACGTGAGCAACGCAGAATAAATAGCAGATGTGCTCCTCCATGATTGGTCAACCTGATTCCAACCTTGAATTTGAGTAGCCAATAGGAAAGATACTCAGTACGTCTCTGCCCTGAATGTATGTAGGCGAGAACGCACTCGTATTGCGGCTGAAATACGCTCTTTTTGCTAGTGTGTTTTCATTTTCAATAGGTCAACAAAACCAACTTGTTCCATCTAGTGTGGATGACTAAAAGTGGGAATGTTCTCTGAGTGTCCAATTAGGGTCACTTCATTTGCAATTGTGATTTGTTCCCTTCAATGACTGCAAATGCACTTTTGGCCAATCACTCAGCTCATTAAGATATTAAATTTAGACCTAATTTCAAATGACATTTGTTAGAGTCTGCTTTTGAGACCTCGATTCCGTGGTAGGACAAGGCCACGCAATGGAGAGGATGTCTCTATGCTAAAAATCCGCCCTTTTAGGGGCAGGAGATATCACTCACAATGTGAGTACTAAGTGCAATGCAACTACGTGTGATCAAAGGAACCTCATGCTTGTTAGAGCAACTTGGAAGGTGCGGACGTGCTACCGATCGCATATGGAGCAAGTGCAACATGAACGCAAAGGCACCACATCCAACCACTAATCATTATTCACTGCAACGCGCTTGCACTAACTGCGTTCTCATGACTAAGCATTGTAGCAGTGGCCGTAAGCTGTAATAGATATTATTCGCTAAATATGTTCTGTTTCTTCGATGTTACGGCAATATTATGCCAGGGGATTTTTAAAGAGACGATCGTCAGTGTCTAGTCAAGGCTTGTCTAGTGTCGGGTGCAAACTATTTAACACCAAAGGTGGAACAGGGGCCATAATCTGATCATTATTCAATCCTGGGTGTATTAGCCCTTTTACTACCAGAAGAATGAGAAATAGTTTGCGTAAAGCAGACAAACAAAAGTTAGCCTTTCAAAGCGAATATCTTCTGTAATTGTTACCAATGAGCCTTAGAAGTCAACTATCAATTCGCCCGAACCATCGTATTGTTGGTACACTTTCACCTTATTTAATGAATACGATAAAGGTAGTTGCGGATTATCCCTTAATGCAATCAATGATAAAGTGAACACGGCAAAGAATGAGAATTTGAAAGCTCTATTGAGATTCAAAGTGTAAAATTCATGTTTCATCTTCGTCTCATTAACAAAATCCTGATCAAGTATTATTTCTCCATATTTATGGGTATATTCTTAAACACTTTACTTTCTGTTACGTGCATTGAGCGTTTCAAATTGCATGTGTTGGTCCACCGTAAAAATGGGACGGCTTGCGTAGAATAGATAATTATTTCCGGTTAAGCGTTGTCCGTGGCAGACTGAGAATTTGGGCCATGATAAATTCATTTCACAACATTTAAATATTTTGAAAAAAGGGGTGTGCGATAGACTTACCTCCACGTGGTGCACCCTGGGCAACGTATATTCATACGGCAAAAAAAGTCTATTAACTGGCTGTTGACTTCTCACTTCAAACTACCATCATCTCATTCCATGCCATATTCGAATATTTCTAGAGTACTCACCTCACCTTTTTTCTACCTTTGTGTTTGTTTCTTAC